TTCTGGCAAGCACACATGCCCTCTGACAATAAACAAAACACTATTTTTAAAAGCTATGCAGTAGTTTAGCAGATGGATGCTCTACAATATAATTTACTTAGCCTCAATATTGAGTACTCTGGCGTTTTCTGATTTCCTACCACTAACGACCACGAGGTAATGGATTGCTTTTTCTGTGCATTTTGGATTATTTCCTTAGGCTGGACCAAGGCAAGTGAGCATGTTTATGGCTCTAGACTTACACCCTTTGCCCTCTAGTTGGTTCATTCTGAAAACGCTGCTTATAAGTAAACAGAATACTATTAAATTCTGGTCACTTAATTACTTAACATTTATAGTCTACTGACTTCCAAGATAACTTGAGATAGCTTATAAAATAAAGACAAACAAGGAGGAATAATAATAACTAGTAGACAAATAGAGCAAACTATCTAATGACACTTCTGACCTGCCGCAGTTTTTGTAAATAGAGAAGTGGATTAGAGCTATGACCATTCATTTATATGCTGTCTTTGACTATTTTCATATTATCATGGCAGAGATGAGGAGTTACAAAGGAGACTGAACAGCCAGCAATCCTCAAATATTCACCACCTCTGGCCCTTTACAAAAAAACCTTGCTTAACTAAATTACTCAGACTTACAGATTATAATTTTAAACTGAAAAATCCCTCATCTAATTCATTAACTTGACTTTCATTTTTTTATATAATTAATTCATTTTTATTTATTTATTTTAATTTGACCAGGGAGGAACAGAATGAGAAAGAGAGAGAGGGAAAGTGCGAAAGCAAACCACCAGGTCTGGGACTTGAACCATGGTCGTCCATGTGGGAGTCCAGAGCCCTTAACCACCATACCACCTGCTGGCCCCCTTGATTTCCATTTCTTGTCAGGTTAGTACAATAGTGACCTGATTCACCTTCCCAGGAGAAACAACAAAAAGGACACATGAATATGCAGCATGAACACGAGACAGCAGTCTTACAAACACTGGACACAGGGCAACCAAGGACAGCGAGTGTCAAGGACTGACCTGTTTATTGACTTGACTTGACACTTAAAAAGCACTAAAATCAACAGTGGAAGAATGTATATTATTATTTTTTTTTAAGAGCGATTTTTGCCATAGGGCTTGTGTGCTCGCTGGAGAGAAGGAGACAGAGAAATCAACCCCCTGGGTGGGGGGCGGGGCGGAATGCCAGGCCATAATCACTTCTCTTCCATTCTGTTCTTGGGATTTTGGACATGCACACATGCACACATGCTTGGCATGAGTTTTAAGCCACCTAGTCTGGGACTCAAACTGTGGTCAACTACGTGGGAGTCCAGTGATGTAACCGTTATGTCATCTGCAGGTCCCAGAATACATATTATTTTTAAGGGCATATACATCATTTATCAAGATAGACCATATGCAAAACCATAAAACAAATTTTCATAAATTTAAAAGGATTCAAATCATCCAAGACATATTATCTCTGGCCACAGTAGAATTAAACTGGCAATCAGTAATCAAAGTATCTGGAAAATCCTTAAAGATAAACAATGTATGGGTTCGGGGGACCAGCATATGGCGTAATGGTTACGTAGCTATAGCCCCGGGGGGGTGATTTCTTGCTGTTCTCTATCCCCCGCATAAGCCCTATAGTAAAAATCTCCCTTAAAAAAAAAAGAAGAGTACAAGTTTATTTGGAAACTCATGCCTAAGGTTTTCACAATATATATTAGGTTGTTAGGAAACTCATGATGTGTTTTTCTGTTTCTATATGTAAAAAATGTGTCATGGCTTTCCTGATGACCCAGTATTTTCTATGACCTTTTTATTATTTTTTTTAAGAATTATTTTATTTAACTTTATTTATTTATTTTAATTAAACCAGAGAAGGACAGAGTGAGTGACAGAGAGAGAGAAAGGAAGAGAGAAAGTGAGAAAGCAAGCCACCAAGTCCGGGACTGGAACCATAGTCAGCCATATGGGAGTCCAGCGCCCATAACCACCACGCCACCTGCCGGCCCACTATGACCTTTTTTTAATTAAATTTTTTGCCAGAAGGCATGTGCCCTCATGAGAGAGACAAGAGACAGAAAGAGAAAGAACCTCCTCCCATCCCCCATATACATATAAACGCACGGGGAATGGTCACACAGCAACTCTTTCTCTTCCATTTCTGCCTTCTGTCTGGATTTTGGGCATGCACACACATGTACCCAGTATGTTTTTCAGGCTGCTGGGTCCAAGACTTGAACTGTGTGGTTGGTTATCTGGGATCCAGTCACCTTAACCACTGTGCCACTGGCTGCCCCGCCCCCATGAACTTTTTGAAGAGTTCTCATACTTCCAAATCATTCATGTGTCAAGAAAAAAAGAAATTAAAAAGTATTCAGAAGTAGATAAAAATGGAAACACAACATATAATTTGTGGGCTTGTGATCTGAGTTGAATTTGTGGAGGAATTTTATATATAAAATGCCTGTATTTTCAAAAAAAGATCTCAAATCAGTGACTTTAATTTCAATCTTAAGTAATTAGAGAAGGAAAAGCTAATAAAACCCATGTAAACAGAAGTAAGGAAGTAATAAAGATCAGAGTGAAATCAATAAAGCAGAAAAACAATACAGAAGATAGAAGTCAATGGGAGACCAGCAGTTAGCATAATGGCTACGTTGCTGGACTCACATCTAGTCAACCACGGTTCACATTCTGGACCCAGTGGTCAGGCGCGTAAGCGTGTGTGCCCACGATCCTGAGAAGAGAATGGAGGAGAAGGGATTTTGCCCTACTGCAAAAAAACTCTCAAAAACAAACAAACAAACAAACAAAGAAGATAGAGTCAATGAAAATAAAAACTGGTTCTTTGACAATAAAACTGATAATGCCTAGGTAAACTAATCAGGACACAAATCATCAATGTCAGGATCAAAAGCGGTTGCACCACTACAGATACTACAGCTAGAAAAGGCCATAAAGGAACATTATGAACAACCTCCTGCCTATAAATTCAACAGCTTAGATGAAATGGAGAAATTCCTTGAAAAGCAAAAATTACTAAAGCTTACTCAAGAAGAAATAGATAACCTCAAAGGCCCTATATCTTTGTCTTAGTCCATTCTGTGCTGCTATAACAAAATAGCACAGACTGTAAAATTTATAAAGAACGTAAACTTATTTCCTCACAATTCTGGATGTTGGGAAGTTCAAGGTTAAGGGGCTAACACTGGGTGAGGACCTTTTTGCTGCATAATCTCATGGCAGAAGGACAAAGAGAAGGCAGTGGGGAGAGCCAGAGAAGGCCACATCTGTCCTTTTATAAAATATATACTCCTATAATAATGGTATTAATCCATTCATAAAGGCAGAAACTTCAAGGCCAAATCACCTCTTAAAGGTCCCATCTAAAATTTTAATATTGGCAATCAACCTTCCAAAACATGAACTTTGGAGGACACATTAAACCACAGTAGTCTTTAAGAGAAATTGAAATTTCAAAAAATTTCCCACAAAGAAACTCTAGGTCCAGATGTCTGGTGAATTCTACCAAACATTTAAGGAAGACATAATACTGATATTACACAAACTCTTGAAAACTGAAAAAGGAATATTTCCCAACTCATTCTGAGGCCAGAATTACCTTAATACCCAAAGCAGACGAAGATGTTACAAAAGAAAAGAAAACTACTGGGCTAGCAGGTGGCGTGGTGATTAAGGCTTTGGACTCCCATATGGCCAACTGTGGTTTAGGTCCTGTACTTTGCAGCTTGCTTTCTCACTCTAATTTGCCCTGTAGCAAATTAAATAATAAAATTAAATTCTTAAAAAACAAACAAACAAACAAAAACTACAGTCCAATCTCCCCCATAAACACAGATACATTCTAAACAAAATATTAGCAAACTGAATTCAATAATCCATAAAAAAGGGTAATACCTCATGACCAAGCAAGATTTATCCCAGGAATACAAGGTTGCTTTATTAACTAAAAGCCAGACAAGTTCAAGTTCCACAGACTTAAAGAACTGTAGAGCTAGAAGAGATCTTAAGAGATTACCAACTAGAATCCCTTTTTTTTTTTTTTGGAGAAGTTTTTGCTACAGGGTGCGTGCGCTTGCCAGAAAGACAGAGAGAGACAGAGACAGAAAGCGAGAAATCACCCCCCAGGGGGGATGGCCATGCCGCAATCCTTTCTCCTCCATTCTCCTCTCAGGATCTTGGGCACGCACGCACATGTGCCCGGTATGAGTTTAAGTCGCCCGGTCCGGAACTCAAACTGCGGTCGACTACATGGGAGTCCAGTGACATAGCCATTGAGCTAACTGCTGGTCCCATAGAATCCTTTTTATACAGTAGATTAGAAGCCAAGACCCATAGGGCCAAGATCACAAAGCCAATTTGAAGTTGACCTTTGAGACTGAACTTGGAGGCTCAGCTAACTGCAGAACATATTTTACTCCATTTCATTATCTGATCACCATGTATATTACCATTTGGATACTCTGAGAGGAAACACGGTATGATTTGGAAGCTGGAAAGTCCTGGGTCTGAATCCCAATTCTGTCTCCTGTAGCCTTAGGCAAGTAATTATACTTCTCTGAATATCAGTATCATCATCCTCTAAAGGGAGATGAATATGGCGTCTGCATTACAGGTTTGCTGTGAGGATTTAATTAATGTATCTAACGCAGTCAGCAAAGTAGTATTTCCCAACAAATACTACTATTATACTACTGCCAATACTACGGCCTATTACCACCATAGTTGTATTATGAAGACATCGAGTTCAAGTTAGAAGCAAAGGACAGAAAATATGCAACCTAACTCTTAACAGACACTTCCTTGAAACCACCAAGAAACTTTAAACAAGGGAAAGTTGGATGAGTTCTTGATTAGCCTTTTCTGTCTGTGGCCTGGGCTCTCCTGGAAATAAAATCTCTTATATGGGTGATCTGTTTCCTTTTTTTTTTTTTTTTTAAACATATACACGCTATTTTCTCCCAGTTACCTGTTTTCCTGTCCACAATGCAAAGGGCTTCAGGATGGCAGGAGGAAAGAGTTTCACGCGCCCCACTTTGTCTGTGAGTCCTCGGTAAACCAGTTCCATATATTGTTCCCGGGTGAAAAAGCAACCTCGAATAGTCATGCTTGCACCTGAAACCATGTGGTCCTGGATCAATCCTGCCAATGGCTGGCCATCCTACAAACCAAGATAGACACAAAAAGAAAAAAACAATCTAAATTTTAAGTCAAATTCCAACTCCTAGTTATCTGATTAAAAGCCACCTTCTAGCAACGGCTCTCCTCACATTGGCCTGTCCATCTCCCCACTAGGCCCTTCTTGGGAGCAAGCTGCTTCCCAGATCACATGACCAGGGTTTACCACCAGCTTCTAGTTTTGCCATTTGCCCACTCCCCTATCCTATATCAAAACTACTTCAAACCTATCTAGTTCCCCAAGCCTTCTCTGCTTAATCACATCTGGTACTAGTTACTTCAGCATTTATGCATAAATTTGGTCTGGCTGCTGTTAGCTGTGCTCTTGTTTTTATTCTCTGGTTTTATGCTTCAGTATTTTTCACACATTTCTGGCCTGGTTCTCCTATAACTCAGCCATCCATTCAACAAATATTTATTGAGAGCTTACTGCATGCCTAGGCACTGGGCAGACCTTCAGCCTACTTCAAGGGACCAAATGGACAGTCCTTTATGATGAGAAAGAGCCAGTCAGTAAACAAATGACTGGACAAATACCTCATCTAAAAGTTTTAAATGCCACAGAGGAAAACAGGGCAGCGGGGGCTGGGGGGGCGGTGTCACAATACAGATCAGAGGTGGGGACAGTAGTCAGGAATGGTCTCTCTGATTGGTGATATTACAGCTGGGGCCTGAGGCGTCACTTGTAGCCGGCCAGTTAGAGAGGAAGGGGTTCAGACACAGGCTCCCTGAAAGTGCTCTGAAGAGGGCCTTGACGTACAGGACTGCAGAGGAAAAGAACCCCTGCTCTTAGTACTCTGCGCAGCGTAGCACGCGGTTCATTATGAGCCCTTAATAACGGCTACTGCCTGCCAGACGCCGAAGCAAGGGAGGGCTTTTATACACACACCAGATTGGTGGCTACTCTCATTTCACTGGACACTTTCACGGCCTTTCTGATCTCGTCTTCTGAACCCTTTCTCTCAGCTCTGTGTTCATAGCAACCTAAGGCACACAGAAGTAAAAATAGCTATGCTCACTGACGTTTGAGAGGCAGCTTTGGTGAACTTTTCAATGTTTACAGGAATTTGAGAAAACCCTGGGCCTTGGAACTAAAGATTGTTATCATTTGAGTATTTGTTAAATACTAGCTAATACTATGGCCATGTTTCATAACGAAGGCTAAAGGAATGCACAAATGTGGCCATGGAGAAGCCAGGAATGCAACCACATGTACTAATTCAAAGGCTGAAAAAGACTCTTGTCCAACAGTCTAAATACTGTGGTAAATACTCTACTAACTGGAAGATGGCTAGTTCGGACGGGCTGAAATGGTGCCACATTACAAGACAAGACCAGGTACAGCCTGATCACACAGCCCTTCCCCTAAAGACCGACTGGTGAACATAAACACAAGAGTATACCCTCACCTTGTTCCAAAGATGGTCTTACCTTGCTTGGGGGGAAACCCAAACCAATATTACGTATTTGACTCATCCCACAGCCTTTGGGGACAGATAAAGGTTTTTTTTTTTCCCCTTTTGTTTTCTTCCTTTGAAGAACATAATTACAAGTTATGTGATATATTCAATGCCTTCTCTTTCCATCCAGATTTTTCTATGACTAGAAAATTACTTTAATGGCTAAACTGCTTTCAATGCAATAATCACGAATTCTAGGGGGGAATGCTGATTAAAGCAATTACTAAGCAGCTACTTACAAACCAAATTTCCTAAATCCTGCTTACGATCAGGAAAAATATCTTTGAATCAAAACCCCAGAAAATTGTCAGCTATTCTATTACACTTAATATAACAGCAAAATGACATTACAACTCATGTCTTTGCTCAGGGTGTGTAGAGAATAAAATATTCTGTGACTTGAATTTTCTAGCTGACAAAGTAGAAATCAAGAAACTATTTCAAATTTTATTAAAAAAATTTTAACAAAGCATCAACCCTCAATAAATACAACAAACAAGGGGGGAGGAATTAATCCACAAAGAAATATATAAATGAGAAGTTTGACTTTTTTTCCTTGGGAAGAAAATAGCTGAGTTCCATTTGTCTTCTATTTAAAGTAAGAAGACATCACAAGGGACCAGCAATTGGCATAATGGCTATGTGGCTGGACTCCCATGTAGTCGACCATGATTCAAGTGGTGGTTTAAATTCACGGCGGGCAAGATCCCGAGAGGAGAATGAAGTAGAAGGGATTGTGGTGTGGCCATCCCCCTTGGGGGGTGATTTCTCACTTTCTCTTTCTCTCTCTTTCTGGTGAGCACACATACCCTATAGCAAAAAAAAAAAAAAAAACTCTC